GAGGAGGAGGAGGAGGAGGAGGAGGAGGAGGAGGAGGAGGAGGAGGAAGAAGAAGAAAAGAAAAATATGATTTAGAAGCAGAAAAATCAGTTCCATTACAACCAAACAAACACACACAGAAAGATACTACTATTGGTTTGTCACATTGATCATTATTTTTTAATGTTTTTTGTATTCCTTATTTGTGAGAACATACCAAAATAGGCATAGTGGAATTGTGGAATGTGGGATGTATGACACAGAATAGTCATGCGCTGTGGAATTCTAAAGTCATTTAATTTTTTCCCACTGAGGAAGCTGAGGATAACCCTAAATTTATCCTCAGTGCTACAAAAAAGCAACAACAAAATTTTCTAGAAAAGCATTTGACACTCTATTTTAAGGCCTTTAAAATGTTTAGTATACTTTTAACCTAACAGTTGTGTTTAGGAAGTAATTATGTACTTTGTCAAGGATTTAAGTATAAAAAACGTTCATTGCAACAACATATATAATTAGAAATATATAATTAGAAATAATTAAATATCTAACAGAAAGGAATTAATGTAGGGTATCTATGAAACCAGTCATGATGAGATGCTAGAGAGCTACTACTAATGACATTGTCGTTCTGGCAGAGGATTTAAGATGCTAACTAGACTGGAAAAACTAGCAGGCTGAGAGTCTTACATAGTCTTACATTTTGGTTAGATGACATTGATGCTTATGTGCTCTTTCTGTTTCCCCTAATTATGTATTTTGCAGTTAGAGTGAGAGATTTTGGGAGTACCCAGTCCTGAAAGGGATGCTTTTATCAAACCCCCTCCCTATAGGGGGGAGAGGCAGGAAGTTTGGAAAAACCGGAAATGGTAGACGATTTCAAGGGAACAGTCTTCCAGATACCCTTGGAGTGGTGTGCAAATGAATTCAGAGGCTGTGGCAGTGCGCACAGCACCTGCTCCTACTCCAGTGAAAGCCAAAAGCAATTGCAACTGGGAGAAAAAGGAAACAGTTTTTGTTGTTCTGTTTTGACTTGTTTTTGTTTTGTTTTTGAGAGAGAGCATGGGTGGGTAGGGAGGTGGGGAGGATCTAGGTGGAATTCGGGGAGGGGAGAGAACACGAGCTTTGCTTTGCTTTGGTTTTTTGTTTGGTTTTGGTTTTGGTTTTTTCAGACAGGATTTCTCTGTGTAGCCCTGGCGATCCTGTTCTCTGCACCACCATACCTGCTTTAACTTAATGTTTTTATTGATTATTTGCAAATTTCACATAATGAACCCCAATCACATTTACTTCCCAGTCCTCCCAGGTCTACATCTCACGATTGTGACCTCCCCCCAAACAAAAGAAGATGGATGGATGGATGGATGGATGGATGGATGGATGGATGGATGGATGGGCAGGCAGATAGATAGACAGACAGACAGACAGATGGATAGGTAGACAGATGACATGTCAATTTGTGTTGCTCATATACACACTGGAGCATGGTCCAACTCCCAATGGTCAGACTCTTAAAATAACTGAGCCCTCCCTCTCCACACACACCAGAACATCAACTGTGAAAAGCTGAAGAGCTACACTTCAGCATCCTTATTACAATTTTTTTTTTTTTCAAGACTAGGCTGGCCTCAAACTCACAGAGATCCTCCTGCCCCTGTCTCTCGAGTGCTGGGATTAAAGGCGTGTGCCGCCGCAGCCGCCGCCACCACCACCACCCGGTCCAGAATCAATTCTTATACCGTGTGGGTCCCAGGGATTGAACTCAGGTTCTCAGGCTTGGTGGCAAGTGCCTTTAGTTGCTGAGCCCTATCAATGGCCCTTAAACCTCTTTGAAAAATTGTATTTTTATAGGCCTTTAATCCACCTTTAATCCAGCACTTAGAAGAAAAAGACAGGTGAATATCTGTTTCAGGCCAGCCAGGAATACACAGAAAGACCTGTCTCAAATAAAACACACACATTGTATTTTTAACCCGAGGTTAATGAATTCTGACCATAATTAATCTTTAGGTTCACTATGCTTATCATTTAATTTATATAATTTATTTTCATATTAGCTTATGTTCCATTCTCTTGTTTTGTTATTTATTGTTCTTGTTAGTGTTAAACACAGAAAGTAAAAAGAATCATGGTTGACATCAGCTGAGAGGATTTTGATCCTCCCCTAAAAGAACAATTGTTGCATGTTTGAAGTAGTGCGTGTGTCACTTATCCTGATCTGATCACTATCAGTGCACCCCATAATAACCATGTGGTTACTATGTATCAGTTATAGTCTTAAGACATTTTCTAGCATGTTCCTTCCTCTGCTCCCTCACGAGAGACTTAATTACTAAATATAAATTACTAGAAAGCCCATGTTAATTTAAACTAATGAATTGTTAGCTATTTTGCAATTCCAACATCTTTGAGAGGGCAGCATCTATGATTTAATTTACACTCATCTTTATTTACTAGTCAAAATGCAGCAAAATCAACCTGTAGAACGCTTTGTTTTGCGTTTCTTGATGAGTTTGTTTAACGACGCATTCCGAGTGTGGCCTTTAACAGAACTTCCTTCCTTCATAGCTTGGTACTAACAGTGGCTTGCACATCATCATCTTTGATGAAATCGATGCCATCTGCAAGCAGAGAGGGAGCATGGCTGGTAGCACTGGAGTCCATGACACGGTTGTCAACCAGCTGCTGTCCAAGATCGATGGCGTCGAGCAGCTGAATAACATCCTCGTGATTGGTAAGCCTTTGATAAGGGGCACGTGTTCATGGGGCACGCGCTTGAGCTTCTGGCTCGCTTGCAGCTGGGCTTTGGGGCCAGCACTGTGTTTTAAGCACTGTGCGTTCTGAGCTGCTGCTGAGGGTACTTTTTAGAAGGGAAAACCATTACTGCTTCTTACAGACATGGAAACCACTGCATACAAAAGAGGGGAGACCTGGGCTCTGGAAAGGCCGTGCTCCTCTCTCCTGAACCTTAGGTTTGCTTTTTAAATAGAGATTTCATTGCAGAGTCTTGCCGTACTTTTTTTTTTTTTTTATTTACTAGACCAACCAAAAAAAAAAAAAAAAAAAAAATGCTGTTTTAGTTTAGTGTTATTGGTTTGTGTGTAACTTTTGTAATGACCTTAGAGAAATTGTTTTTTGTTTTATTTTGTTTTGTTTTGTTTTCTGAGACAAGGTTTCTCTGTGTAGCTTTGACTGAACTGGTCTCACTTTGTAGACCAGGCTGGCTTGGAACTCAGATCTGCCTGCCTCTGCCTCCCTGAGTACTGGGATCATCCAACTCCAAGAAGTTACTTTTTTTTTTTTTTTTTACATAGACTAAAAGTACGGTTTACCTTGCCTTTGAACCCTGATCACTTGCTCACTGTTCATAATATCTGCATTCAGGAATGACCAACAGACCAGATTTGATTGATGAGGCTCTCCTCCGACCTGGAAGACTGGAAGTTAAAATGGAGATAGGTAAGTAAAGTAGGTCACTGGTGTGAGGGTTCACACATGCGCACGTGTGTGGTGTATGCACACACATGATTTCACATGTGGTTTCAGAGTTTATTAATGAGAGCAACCTCATATTAAATAATGCTCATTGTCCGGCAGCCACATCTAGACTTCCCAGAAGAAAAGCATTAGGGCTGTGATGGAAAATGTCTGTTTTTGTTTTATCAGGCTTGCCAGACGAGAAGGGTCGGCTGCAGATCCTTCACATCCACACAGCAAGGATGAGAGGGCATCAGCTACTGTCTGCGGATGTGGACATCAAGGAGCTGGCAGTGGAGACTAAGAATTTCAGTGGCGCTGAGCTGGAGGGCCTGGTGCGAGCAGCGCAGTCCACAGCCATGAACAGGCACATAAAGGTCAGGAAAGTCAATGAACACACATGAGCCCGTGTTTGCCACACATGCCAAGGAGAGGAATGCTGACTTCTATAGCAGAGACAGGTGGAGTGAGCACCGTTGTCCACTGAAGGACAAACGGCAGTTGTTATTAGAGACAGTTTCTCTGTGCAGAACTCACTCTGTAGACCAGGCTGACCTCGAACTCAGAGATCCTCCTACACCGCCACCACCCAGCCAGCATACAAGTGATAAATTTAAGAAGTAAAATTTAAATTTGGTTAGAACTTTAAAACATTCGTAGTACTAAGCTACTCAGTATGATATTCTGTCTTCAGGGTACACATGTAAGTTTTCTTTCTATTTCCTGTTCAAGACATTTGGGCCAAAGCCAAGATTGAGTGAGGTCAACAAGACGAGTCTTCTGGCAGACAGGGGTTTTAGGTTTTCCAAAACAAGCGGAAGTCTAGTCATGACCTACCTGGTGTTTGTGTTGTGGTACTTGAGCCCGTGTTCTTGGTCAGCTAAAATGCATGTGATATTTGGTTGTTTTTACATTGAGAGGAATTTCTGCTTCAGGTAGGGAAGATGCGTAACCCAAATGTCTTCCCTGAGCTGTTGAAAGGGACAACTTGAGGGCACACGCATGTGCACCTTCCAGCTGGAGCAACCGTCTGAGCTTCAGCAAAATTACTTCTTTTCCGGAGACCTTTTGACTGATGAAAGTCATTCCCCCCTTAATTTCAGAGGAATGATAAGAGCCTGGAAAGGTCAGGTTTAGAAGGTTACGAAGCGTAAGGGTGACCACTTGATATTCACTGGTGTTGAAATACGAGCTTATGAGTTTGTGTCTAGGCTGGAAGGTGTCACTGTTTCTACATTGATTAGCTGACAAATAAAATTGAGAAAATAGCTTAAATTAAACTCAACCAAATGGAGAAAAAGGTTTTTTTTTAATCTGTAGAGGTTCAGAATCGTTGACTTTTTAAAATAGAATTGTATTGATATTGATAAAACAGTAGCTGTTAGCTCAGGAAAAATCCAACATTTAGCTAGGAAGAACTCAACATTTATTTTAATGAACAAGAGGAAGTAATTTAGCTCTGGAACATTATTTACAAGTAAGTAACTTTAAAAATTCTGGGAGTGCCTAGAAACAGTTTATTCTCCTCCTCCTCCTACTACTCCTACTCCATTTTAATTTTCTTATAGCCTTCTGTTGTTGACATAGGCTCTTCTGGGTAGCCCTAGCTATCTTTACTGTGTAGTCCAGGCTGGCCTAGAACACTCTCCTCCTGCCCCAGATTCCCAGTGCTGGGACTGCACATGTAAGCTACAATGTTTGACTTAAATTTTTTAATTTTATGATTGACATATAACAAGTAGTCATGTTTGTGGGCTAGATTTTAATACATATATGCAATGTGTAATGAGAGGCCTAGGGTAACTGGCATACTCATGCTCTCCAACAGTTACTCTTTGGTTTGGGGACATTCAGAATCTCTGGACTAGCAGTTTGGAAATGAGCACCCGCTGTTGCCAGCCTTGGTAAACACCTTCACTGTCCACTCATACTCAAAGCGTCCGGTAACCGCTTGTCTTTGTGTTTGCAGGCAAGGTCACAGGAGGCCAGGCTGGCCCCAAATTCTAGAGCCTCCTGCCTCAGGCTCTTTAGTTGCTAGGTTGCAGGGGTACTGCCCTTAGGAAAAACTGCGGCATCACTTCTGGGGCCCTGTTAGTGCACAAGAGAGGGTTTTTAGAAAAGCAAGCCCTCCAGCTTCCTGCTTGGAGATGGGAATTCTTCTTACACAGGACCTTTCAGAGCCTGCACCATGCTGTTTAGGCTCTCGGCATCCCAAACTGCGATCAATAAACCTCTTTTATTTATAAAGCCATTGTGTCTCAGGTATTAAGGATTCATGGAAGCCAGATACATAGGGAAAATGAGACATCTCAAACAGACCTTCCCTTCCCCTCTTTAGAGCTATTCAGTATTTGGGATATACCTTTGTTGTTTGCTTTCTCCACATTTGTATTCATACACACACACACACGTTTTTAAGAAAGCATAAGTATAATTGTCCTGAGATTTGTATTTTTCATTTTGCAGCATAATTTGGACAGCACTTTATGTCAATACTTGTAAGGTCCCTACTTTATTTTATACTGATATATAGTAATCTAGAATACTACCACTGAAAACACAAGTTAGATAGAAAATAGAAGATAGATAGACTGGGCATGGTATTGAATTTCTGTAGAAGATTAAGATAGAAAGGTCGACTGGGGGGGGGGGTAGGGGCAGCGCAGTGCACGCCTTTATTCCCAGCACTTGGGGGATGGAGGCAAGCAGATCTCTGAGTTCTAGGCCCCAGGACAGCCAAGGCTATGCAGAGAAACCGTGTCTCGAAAAACAAACAAACAAAATAACAAAAAAAAAAAAAAAAAAACCAAAACCAAACAAACAGAAACAAAAAATGAAGCACACTTGGGGTCAGGAATTTGAGGCCAGCCTGCACAAGCCATGAGGCCAGAGAATGCGCACCATTTTATTTCATGGTTTGTTTGTTTGTTTGTTTTTAGTTTTTTGGGCACTCAGTAAATATGGTGAATGAATGGGCTAACAATTTGTTTAACATGAAATTATCTCTGGTTGTGGCTATTTTAAGATGCTGTTGCAACGGTCCTGCCTGTGCCTCCTTATATAGTCAGGGGCCATTTTCTAGAACACATGTTTCTGTGTTTGCGACTACTTGGCTTCATTGTCTCCCGGGTTCCAGCACTGCCGCCGGCGAGAGCTCTCGCAGCCGTGCTACTCCATATTCGCAGGCTTGTTTGCGCTTCTCAGAAAGGCTGTGGGACTTCTGCACAGGTCTGCACCCTGTGTCTAGACAGACGGGATCTCTTCCTACTGATCCCGATCTCAGAGCGGCAGACGCACCTTTCCTCAGCCGTGGGAAGTCCCCTGCCCCTTTATCGTTTCCTCTGCACTAATGAGTCTTTCAGTCCTCGGCTTCTGACACTTTAGGGTAGTGGCAGATTTTCCATGCTTTTTCATCTTTCTTGCTGCTCTCATTTGTTGGGATTTGGGACAGAAAAGGAAATAAATATATGTGTTCTGTTTGCCAATCTTGATCCAGTTTCCTGACATAGTTCTTTTTACCCCTCAAGGCTGAATTTTTCTTTTTAAATGTCTTTTTTTTTTTTTTTTTTTTTTTTTTTTGTCTCAGCAATCTGTTCCTAAAGGGGCATGACTCATATTTTATAATATATCAGTGCAAGGGTGATATGTGCCTCACATAGTTTAGTTTTATAGTCACTGTTTTTTAAGATACTTTAAAAAAAAAAAAAGCTATGATATTGATTTAAAAATGATGAAACTCTCTTTGTGCTATTGGGAGTGAGCCCAGTCACATTAAAAAAAAAAAATGTGTTGCTATCTTAATCACTCATCAGGTCCAGGCAGCTCCAAGTGCTGACTGAGGCCTCCATGCTCCTCCAGATGTGCGAGTGTCAGCCCCAGGTGTGGTGAGCAGAGTGTCTGGAGCTGGCACGTAGGTTCTTAGTCTCCTGGGGTAACTAAAGGTTCTTAAACTCAGCTCGGTGCCCGGGTCATCTGTGGCACTTGCTAACACTAGAGATGCCTGGGCTCCAACTGTTAACATTCTGCAGGGTTGGGCTGGCGTCTGTGTGTTGGAGAAAGACTCCAGGGACTGCATCCAGATGTGCAGCCAAGGCTGGACACTGTTGTCCCCTGAGTATCTCTTTGTTGCGCTTTCACTGTACATTTTAGTGATATTAACTACACTCATGATATGCAGCCATCACTTCCACCCATAGTCAGAAAGCTTTTCATCCAAAGTCTGAAACTTTGTAGCCATTAAAAAGTAACCCTCCATTCCTACACCTCCCAAGGGTAACCACTGCTCTCCTTTCTGTAGGACCTTGAGGTGTTTGCGTTTTTGTGACTGGCTTGCCTCCATCAACAGTATCCTCAAGGTCATCCATGTTGTATGATACCCAGATTTCCTCCTTTCTAAGGCTGAACAATGCTCTGCTGGGTGGCCACACCATGCCTGTGTGTCTGTTCTCCAGTTGGTAGACATCCCAGTTGTTTCCTTGTTTTCACCGCCTTGTTCCATGCTCTTGTGAACATGGCTGTGAAATGCCTAAGACCCAGTTTCTGCTCTCTGGGTGTTTATCAAAGGAGATGTCATTAGATCAAAAGGCAGTCCCAGTTTCTTCTTCTTTTTCTTCTTCTTTCTCTTCCTCCTCTTCTTCTTTTTCTTCTTTTTTTGTCTGAGACAGGATTTCTCTATATACCCTTGGCTGTCCTGGAACTCACTCTGTAGACCATGCTGGTCTTGAACTCTGCCTCTGCCTCTGTCTTCCCAGGCTGGGATTAAAGACATGAGCCACCATGACTGGCCTCAGTCCTCGTTGTGTTTTGTTTTGTTTTCTTTGTGAAAGCTTTTGAATTATACATTCTTATCAACGGCCCAAGGGTTCCAGTTTGTCCAAATCCTTGCTGTCACTTATTTTCTGATTTTTTTTGGGGGGGTGGCTTTTTTGTGGTTGTAGCTACCCTTTGAATGTGAGGTGAAATTTCATTGGTTTTTTTTTTGGGGGGGGGTTGTAACAGGGTGTTGATATGTATCCTACATTGGCCTTGAACTTGCCACCTTCTTGCCTTAGTCTCCTGATTGCTGCCATGTACCACACTTCGCTTTTTGTAGTCCTCTAAGAATTAGTGATGCCAGCCATCTTTCCATGTGCTGTTGAGCATTCACAACATGTCTGGAAAAGCTTTAGAGGAAATTCTGATGTTTGTCCAAGGTTGGACACCATTGTCTCCAGTCCTTGGAGAAATGTCTATTCCAAGTTTCTAGTTTTTGTTGTTGGGCTTTAAAAGTTTTATATATTCTAACTATTAATCCCTTTAACATATATGATTTGAAGATAGCTGAGACTTTTACATATGAAAATATTCCTTTTACTTTTCTCTTTGTAGGCTGGGAATACTGCTAAGTGTTTGTAAATTCTTGTGTTCTGTCTTATCTCTTCTCAGGCCAGTACGAAAGTGGAGGTAGACATGGAGAAAGCAGAGAGCTTGCAAGTGACAAGAGGGGACTTCCTTGCTTCTTTGGAGAACGACATCAAACCAGTGAGTGTGCCTGTTGAGTGGGGTGTGATCCCCACGCAACTCAAAGAGGGAAAGCACTGTTCTACCTCTTGATGTAGGATCTGTCATCATAGTTTCATAACATGAGAAAAGCTTGCTGTACACACCTCATTGGAACACTGGTTGCTGGGTCTTTGACCAATATTTACGTAAGTGCTTCCTGTGATAGAGAGCTCACTATCTTACAAAGCAGCCCGTGCAGTCCTGAGACTTTCTATTTCTTAGTTCTTCGTATTGAACTTGAGGTAGTTTTATAGGTCTCTACATAACCTCAAGCTACAGAAACCTAAATTCAACCCTTCCTTTCCATGTCAACTGTGATGTTGAAAATGAACCTTTGGGAGCTGTAGAGATGGCTCAGTAGTTAAGTGTGTACTGCTCACCACTGCCTGTAATCCAGTCCCAGGGTATCCAAAGCCCTCTTCTGGCTCCAAGGCCACTGTATGCATGTGGCATGCACACAGATACACACACACACACACACACACACACACACACACACACACACACAC